AAGATGGGGTTTCACCATGATGGCTAGGCTGGTCTTGAACTCCTGACCTCAGGTGATCCACCCACCTCAGCCTCCCAAAGTGCTAGGATTACAGGGGTGAGCCACTGCGCCCGGCCAAAACACTGTTTAATTAGTTTTCTATTAGATCAGGTCAAGTTAATTTTTTTATTTTCCCTTCTAAATGAGTTTGGCCCCAAAGTGACACCTCCCCTACCCAGAAATACCCTTTGGTTTTCAGAGATGTCCGGCTTTGGAATTGTAGGTGAGTAAGTATGGATGCTAAATGGTCCCCCATGTTGTTATGTAAGAGGAAATCTAGCTATCTTTGTTTCATATTTAAAGACCAAAATCCTAATCAAACCTTTAACATTATCTATATGAAAGTCTGGTCCTTGTCACTTTAAGTGGCTTCTCCTCGTGCCAGTATTTCTTGGACTCGATGGCCTGTGTATACTTGGTTTTCTGAACCAGTGTTTCTGATGACTTTGGGTTCACCCACTGGTCACCTCTCTGGACTATAGCTGTGGGAAGGTTAGGATGAGTCCCATACTCCTTACAGCCAGCCATGGCTGAGCTGCTGGGCCCTGCTGGTGAATTGCATGAGGCAGCTTTTTAAGAGTCTTGTTCTCCCTCTTCCAGATCCGCAGGCTGAGGATCGAGATAGAGAAGCTCCAGTGGCTGCACCAGCAAGAGCTCTCTGAAATGAAACACAACTTGGGTAAGGCCTGACACACTGGTCTAAATGGAGGGGGGTTTTGAGTGTGAACTTCTTTGCACCTCTGTAGTCAAGCCCAGATGTGAGTGCAGTTAAAACTAGGCTAGGATTGTACGACTTACAGGGAGAACGCAGAATCCTGAGAGTCTGTCCTGGAGAAACCAGGTGTAAGAGCTGGTGTGTTGGTGGGAGCCCCTCTTTCCTCTGTTTTAGAACATCAGCTTCAACAATAAAATGATGAGGATTGGTCAGACACTGCAGCTCACACCTGTAATTCCAGCCCTTTGGGAGGCCCAGATGGGAGGATTGCTTGAGCCCAGGAGTTCGATTCCAGCCTGGGTAATCTGGCGAAACCCCATCTCTACACAAAATTTTAAACCATAAACTGGGCCTGGTAGTGTGTGTCTGTGTTCCCGGCTCTTTGGGAGGCTGATGAAGGAGGATCACTTGAGCCTGAGAAGTTGAGGCTGCAGTCAACTATGTACCACTGCACTCCAGCCAGGGCAAACAAGCAAGACCCTATCTCAAAAAAATAAAAAGTAGGTTGGGGGGGGGGTGGCTCATGCCTATAATCCCAGCACTTTGGGAGGCCAAGGCGGGTGGATCATGAGGTCAAGAGATCGAGACCATCCTGGTCAACATGGTGAAACCCTTCTCTACTAAAAGTACAAAAATTAGCTGGGCATGGTGGCACATGCCTGTAGTCCCAGCTACTTGGGAGGCTGAGGCAGGAGAATTGCTTGAACCCAGGAGGTGGAGGTTGTGCTGAGCTGAGATTGCGCCACTGCACTCCAGCCCGGGTAACGAGCGAAACTCCGTCTCAAAAAATAAAAATAAAAAGTAAATAAAACAACAAGGATCACTATAGTAGCTCCCACTCGTGAAGCTTATAACTTTGTACAGAAACCACTTTAAATACTTTTTCATGAATTCACTAATTTTATTACAGAAACTCTGGTGATAAAGGGATCTGTTAGATCCCTGGTTTTTGTTTTTCCTTTTTTTTTTCTCCCACACCTGCATGCTATGGACATATCCATCCCCACCCCCACCCCCACCCCCACCCCCATCCCCACCCCCACCCCCGCCATTTTCAAGTGAAGAAACTGACATGTTGAGGAAGTTGTTGAAAGTCACGTGGCCACAGTTCAAGTCTGGGCAGTCTTCACCCTGTTCATCATTGAATGCTGGGCACTTAACAACATCTGGATGCTTCCCATGCACCGCTCAGTGTGGAGAAAGATACTTCATTGGTCCCTGGGTTAGATATACAGAGGTTTTGGCCCGTCATTCTGTATAGATAAGCTTTTCCCCAAAGGTAGGAGCGATTGCTTCAGACCCTCACATAGTATCAGACAGGTTGCTGGCAGCCAGCAGGAAAACTCTTAAACTGGGGACCCAGGCCTGGGTGTGCCTTCCGGCTCACCTGTGGTCTGCATCTAAGCCACACCTTACAGACTTCAATCCCTTCAGAGCTGCCTGGAGAGGAGCCCGTGGTTCATTCTTTCTAGACACTTATTTAGATGTTGCTTCTTCTCGTTTTCCTTTTTTTTTAAGGCAGAGTCTCACTCTGTCTTCCAGGCTGGAGAGCAGTAGAGCAATCTCGACTCCTTGCAGCCTCTGCCTCCCAGGTTCAGCCTCCCTAGGAGCTGGGATTACAGGTGTGTGCCACCATGCCTGGCTGAGTTTTGTACTTTTAGTAGAGATGCGAAAGGGGTAGAATAGTAGTACTTCTCCTGTAGGATTATTAGGATGAGGATGGCGTGAGTTAATAGTTACAAAGTACATAGAACAGTGTCTCCATGTAGTAGGTGCTATATAGGTATTTGATAGGGCGAGAAAGCCTCATGTTAATGAATCATCGGCTGGAAAGTGCGTTTAGTGTGGTGGCTGTTTCAAGGGTTACTTTGAGGAATTCCCAGAATGTAGTCTGGGGTTGAAAATCCCCTGGGGGGGGTTATCTCCACTCTGGGCACCTCACATTCACTCTCAACAGGCAGCGCCATCTGGTCGCTTTGATGAACGTCCTGTTTATAGATGAAGACTCCAGCTAGGTTACTGCCCACACGTACACAGACAGGGCTTTTCCCAGTGGGGTCTTGCACCCTTGTCTGCCTGAATCTGGGGACAGGAATAGCCCCGTGTCCCAGGCTGGGGTCAGGTGATGAGCGTTCTTCCCCCTCCTCCACCAGAGCTGACCATGGCAGAGATGCGGCAGAGCCTGGAGCAGGAGCGGGACCGGCTCATCGCCGAGGTGAAGAAGCAGCTGGAGCTGGAGAAGCAGCAGGCGGTGGACGAGACCAAGAAGAAGCAGTGGTGTGCCAACTGCAAGAAGGAGGCCATCTTTTACTGCTGTTGGAACACCAGCTACTGCGACTACCCCTGCCAGCAAGCTCACTGGCCCGAACACATGAAGTCCTGTACTCAGTCAGGTAATGTCCCATGGGGCTGCCTTCTGTTCTGGGCTGCAGTGGCTGGGCTTTGGTCTCTCCTGTGGACCTCAGGGGTCACGGCTGATTGACCAGGGAGCTTGCCTGGCTCCTGGACACTCTCACTCAAAAACAACTGTGTTTCTTCTGGTGAGCAGCGTGCAGGCCCATAGCTGGGCAGATGCATAGCTAAGACATGAGCCATGGGCATTTTGAACCTTTGATCTTTGTAGAACCCTTGATCTCTTCTGAGGCCTAAAATGTCAGTAGTATTGAGGTTGAGACACTTTTTTTTTTTTTGGCAGTAATGGACTTGTGGCTTTAAATAATAGGGATTTCCAATTTCTTTAAGTAAAAAGTGTTGGTTTGGAACCTGTGTTTTACACTGCTGTAATATTTATAATCAACCTTTCCAACCATAGAACAAGCAGTCCTCAGGCCTGGAGCCTCCAGCAGGAAGCACTATCTAGTTAGAATTTATCAATATTATTTTATAAATTATTACTTTTAGACAGAGTTTCGCTCTTGTCCCCCAGGCTGGCAGTGGTGCGATCTTGGCTCACTGCAACCTCTACCTCCTAAGTTCAAGTGATTTTCCTGCTTCAGCCTCCCGGGTAGCTGGGATTACAGGCACATGCCACCACGCCCAGCTAATTTTTGTATTTTTAGTAGATAGAAATTTTTGTATTTCACCGTGTTGGCCAGGCTGGTCTTGAACTCCTGACCTCAAGTGACCTGCCTGCCTTGGCCTCCCAGAGTGCTGGGATTACAGGCGTGAGCCACCATGCCCAGCCCGTAAGTTATTTTTTACAATTAGCTTTTATTTATGGCAAATGATACTACATTTGTATGCTTGGAATTAAACACTTCCATTTTAAAGAATTTCAAGTGTTGGCCGGGCGCGGTGGCTCAAGCCTGTAATCCCAGCACTGTGGGAGGCCGAGGCGGGTGGATCACGAGGTCAAGAGATCGAGACCATCCTGGTCAACATGGTGAAACCCCGTCTCTACTAAAAAAATACAGAAAAAAATTAGCTGGGCATGGTGGCGCGTGCCTGTAATCCCAGCGAATCAGGAGGCTGGGGCAGGAGAATTGCCTGAACCCAGGAGGCGGAGGTTGCGGTGAGCCGAGATCGCGCCATTGCACTCCAGCCTGGGTAACAACAGTGAAACTCCGTCAAAAAAAAAAAAAAAAAAAAGAATTTCAAGTGTCACACAAATAATACAATCAGGTAGTATGTCTGCAGATTGGCAAAATTTGCAAAGGTGGTGTGTAAATGACTCAAGTGTGAGAACCTTGACCAGAGGTTGAGTGAATATTTTAGGCTTTGTACACCATGTGGTTTCTGTCGCAACTACGTAACTCTGCTGTTACAGTGCAGAAGCAGCCATAGGTGAAATGTAAATGGATGGACGTGGCTGTCCGCCAGTAAAACAGAGTCCTTGCTTGCCAGCTCTTGCTCTAGAGAAATCTGTTATTATTTTTTAAATGGCAATATTGGAGCATACCTTGCTCTGTTCTTTAGTCTTCAGGGAGATGTCTTCTTTGTAGACACTTTTGCCCTCTTCCTGGAGTAAAGTCTCCTTGTGTTTTCCCTAAGTTCTGGAATGTGTCTGATGAGCCTTTTGCTGTTTTGCCAAGATGGCCAAAGTGTCTTTCAGGCCTTCCTTTTTCTGTGACATAATTATGTCTGTTCTTCCTAAATTCCTCCCAAACGCCCTGTTTTTCTGTGTATCCAAGTTTCTGCCACCTCCAGATGCTCTGGGCCTCTGACAGCATGTCGCCTGTCATGTGGTTTTCCTGTCCCACCTTAGAAGGAAGCAAGTCCCTGGGGCTGAAAATCCAAGTCTCCACCTAGAAGTGATTAAATAGAGTAACTCTAAATTGGCAGTTGCAGGCTGGCTCTTGTTAATGGGCTTAATTTGTTCCAAGAATATATTTTCATCTCCAGAATGATTTAATAAAACTTGAATTGCTAACCATTAAAAATCAACATGTTGACTGGGAGTGGTGGCTCACACCTGTAATCCCAGCACTTTTTTTTTTTGGGAGGCCAAGGTGAGCAGGTCACTTGAGGTCAGGAGTTCAAGACCAGCCTGGCCAACATGGTGAAACCCCGTCTCTACTAAAAATACAAAAATTAGCCAGGTGTGGTTGTGGGCACCTGTAGTCCCAGCTACTTGGGAGGCTAAGAAGAGAATCACTCGAACCTGGGAGATAGAGGTTGCAGTGAGCTGAGATCATATCACTGCATTCCAGCCTGGGAGAGAACAAGATTCCATCTCAAAAAAAAATAAATAAGTAAAATCATGTGTATGTTAAAATTTGGAATTCCAGCTTCTGGAAAATTCTGGTAATCTACCTCCCTCGAGCCTACACCTTACGCCCTGGGTAGGGCTAAGCCTTGGGTGAAGGACGGAGCTCCAGGCATGTTTCAAAATCATCATATTGTGTGTACATGTGACGTCTCTGCCTCTGCTTTGTACCCAGCTACTGCTCCTCAGCAGGAAGCGGATGCTGAGGTGAACACAGAAACACTAAACAAATCGTCCCAGGGGAGCTCCTCGAGCACACAGTCAGCACCTTCAGAAACGGCCAGTGCCTCCAAAGAGAAGGAGACGTCCGCTGAGAAAAGCAAGGACAGTGGCTCGGTGAGGATCCCCCCCATGACTTTGGCTGGTGACATCAACCCTTTGTGCCAAGTGGACTTAAGACCCCATGTCTGCCACCCCTGAATGTTTTATGCTGTGGGAGGCTTGTCTGGAGGAATGCAGAGTCTTACCAGTGTGCCAGAATTTCTAGTGGATGTGTGGGAATATGGAGCCCAAGCTGGCGTGTGTGGGACCTGGCACCTGCCCCCCAGTACTCTCCCCTGGGGACTCTCAAAGTGTAGAATAGTGTTGCACAGAACTTTCTGTGATAAAGGAAATGTTCTGTACCTCCCATCCATATGGTAGCTGCTAGCCACGTGCAACTTTTGAGCACTTGAAATGCAGCTAGTGTGAGCCAGGACCTGATTTTACAATTTAATTTAATATCAATTAATTGCGATTTCAGTAGCCACATGTGGCTAGTGGCAGCCATATTGGGCCATGAAGGTTTCACCTCCTTGTTTGCCAGGGTGTGATGTATGTGACATTGATGGTATGCAGACTATTTTCGTGAGTATATAGTTTTTTACAGTTTTTAGTTATTGTATATCTATTTCAGTGAATATTAGGAAAAAGATAAATCATTAGACTGTCAGTTAAAACATGTTTTCACTGGTAGTATTGCCTAATCAGAGACTAGCATCAATTAAAAGCAAACTGATAGAATTTTGAAGTAATATACCTTCTCTGTGGACAGGGCAAAAATCTGGAGAGGGATCTGTTAGTGGAGTTCAGGGAACACTGAATGTTGGAGGGTTCTAGAGTGGAGTCAGGGGTCACCCCGGTGCTGTGTTCCAGCCTGTTCATGTGGGAGATGGCACCAGGGTTTGGCCACCTGGCTGCCCTGTGCCCATCACTCCCACCAGACTGTGCCAGGCAGAGGGCACTGAGATGCTTTGGGGGGCAGTGATGGAGCACCCTCGTGGCTCCCTGGGTTTCCCTGCGGGGACTCCATTGGCCTCAGTGCCTTGAGTTCATCTTTTTCTTTTTGTATTTCTAGACCCTCGACCTTTCTGGCTCCAGGGAGACGCCCTCCTCCGTTCTCTTGGGCTCCAACCCAGGCTCTGGTATGTTGCCCCCTTGTGGGCGAACTATGCTTTCACATTTCAGATGGGCAGTTGGGGAGAATTTGAAGGGTTTATTCCAATGGTTTCCAAACGATTACGGATCCTTAGGGGTGGCTGGGGTGGGTTAGTGGGGGGTGAGGAGGTAGTTGAGCATGTTAACTTTCGAGTACCTCTCCAAGCTGATCAGTATTACCAGATGTATTTACTCGGGATCCACATAAAACTCTGTTTGGACAGAGGGTTCTGTTGCTGACCTGGGGTGGGGTAGAAGAAGTGCATTTGGACTGGGTAGTCTTTTTGCTCTCGGGGAAGAAATGAGCATGGTAAAAGTCTTGATTGAGAGGTCTTAATACCTGTGTCTGGTAGAGGAAGGCACTCAAGCCTTTGAGAAATGAAGGCAGTGCTTAGGTGAATGATCTTTCTGTAAAATCCTTTGCTTTTGGGGAATCACCTGGCAGGCAGATTTGGGGAAATCTTCTGAGACTTGACATCGGGAGTTTTTCTCCTGTGAGGTTTGAGCTGTTTTCCTTTCCTAGACCAAAGTGTCTTTTTCCTGCACTTTCTTAAAGCAGTTTTAGGTGACTGCAGAAGGGTTCAGAGAAGGTGCCTTCCTGGAGGAAGACAGTTTTACTTCATTCAGAGTTTTTGCCTGGCACCACAGCTCTAGAACCTTTCTGCTTGCTGATTCTTTTTTTTTTTTTGGAGACAGAGTCTCACTGTCACCCAGGCTGGAGTGCAGTGGTGTGATCTTAGCTCACTGCAACCTCCCTCTCCCAGGTTCAAGTGATTCTCCTGCCTTAGCCTCCTGAGTAGCTGGGATTATAGGCGCACACCACCACGCCCAGCTAATTTTTGTATTTTTAGTAGAGATGGGGCTTCACCATGTTGATCAGGCTGGTCTTGAACTCCTGACCTCAGGTGATCCACCCTCCTCGACCTCCCAAAGTGTTGGGATTATAGGCTTGAGCTACCATGCCCAGCCCTTCCTCCTCCTTCCCTTCCCTTCTTCCCCCTACTTCTTTCCTCCCTCCCTCCTTTTGACAGAGTCTTGCTCTGTCGCCTAGGCTGGAGTGCAGTGACATGATCTCAGCTCACTGCAACCTCTGCCTCCGCGGTTCAAGTGACTCTCCTGCCTCAGTCTCCTGAGTAGTTGGGATTACAGGCATGCATCACCAAGTCCAGCTAATTTTTTCTGTTTTTACTAGAGACAGGGTTTCACTGTATTGGCCAGGCTGGTCTTGGACTCCCGACCTCAAGTGATTCACCCACCTTGGCTTCCCAAAGTGTTGGGATTACAGATGTGAGCCACCGTGCCTGGCCAGACACCTGTGTTCTGATACAAGTTTTTTTTTTTTCCATCAGCTTATGATTCCACCGTCCATGGTGGCCATTTCTCAAGTTCTCTGCTCTGTTTAGGACCTCCCTGCACCTCGCGCTGCATCACCTGTCCTGGGCGCTTAAGGCTGCCCTCTGCGGGGCCTCCGTGGCACTCTGTCCTTCCCTTCTGACATTCAAAGGCATCCGCATCCTTTGTTGTAGCCAGATTTGTCACTCTGTACTGCTTTTCTTCCTAGGCACTTTAATATTCTCATGTATCTCCAAGTGCCTTCCTTGACACCTTGCACCTCCAATAGAACGTTCTGTGACAGTGGCCATGTTCTTTTATTTGCAGTGTCCACTATGGTAACCACTAGCCACATGTAGCTACTGAACCCTTGAACGGTGGCTAGTGTCGCTGAGGAATGGAATTTCACATTGTATCTGATTTTAGTGGTTACCATATTGAATGGCACAGCTCAAGACCCATCCTGTCTCCTTCCTCAACCCAGTTAGATGTCTCTCCAAGGGTTGTTATTCTCGAGCTAGGTGCACTGGTAGTCCCAGCTACTTGGAGAGGCTGAGGCAGGGGGTCACTTGAACCTACGAGTTTTGAAGCTGCCATGAGTGCCTGTGACTGCCACTGCACTCCAGCTGGTCAACAGAATGAGACCTCATCCTTAAAAAAAAAAGCTGGGTGCTGTGGCTCACGCCTGCAATCCCAGCACTTTAGGAGGCCGAGGCAGGCGGATCACCTGAGGTTGGGAGTTTGAGACCAGCTTGACCAACATGGAGCAACCCCCGTCTCTACTAAAATACAAAATTAGCTGGGCATGGTGGTGTGTGCCTGTTATCCCAGTTACTTGGCAGGCTGAGGCAGGAGAATCACTTGAACCTGGGAGGCAGAGGTTGCAGTGAGCTGAGATCATGCCATTGCACTCACATGCTCCACTGCTCATAGGACACAGTTTCTATTCTGAACTCCACTGTCCCCCTAAATCATTAACAGGCCTGCACATTTTTATTTTTAAATGTTGTTTTGAAACCTTTTTTGTTCTTAAGAAACAGGAGTTGCCCAGGCTGGCCTTAAACTTGGCCTGAGATCAAAGGATTCTCCCACCTCAACCTCTTGAGTAGCTGGGATCACAGGCATGTGCCACCATGGTCAGCAGCAGAGATTTTTCTTAAAAGATGACTGGATTGGCTAGAATCATGGTATCTTCATGTCAGAAAGGGCCTCCTCTCCAGGTTTTGGATAAAGATTGAGGTGCACCCAGGGCTACACTAAAAGAGATTTAGCACCACATTTAGGTCAGGTGTGGTGTCTCTTGCCTGTAATTCCAGCACTTTGAGAGGCCAAGGTGGGCGGATCATTTGAGGTCAGGAGTTTGAGACCAGCCTGACCAACATGGTGAAACCCTGTCTCTACGATAAAAGCACAAAAAATTAGCTGGGTGTGGTGATGCCCCTCTGTAATCCCAGCTACTCAGGAGGCTGAGGCAAGAGAATTGCCTGAACCCAGGAGGTGGAGGTTACAGTGAGCCCATATCCCACCACTGCATTACAGCCTGGGCGACAGAGTGAGACTTTGTCTCAAAAACAAGAGATTTAGTTCCACATTTAGGACTTGGAAAGAGGCTGGGGAAAGAGTCCCATCAGCACAGTGAGAGCACCATGGAGCCCATGGTCAAACTGGCAGGAGAAGCACCTTTTGCAGTCAGCGCTGCAGTGATTCTCAGCGGGTGAGAAGCGGCAGGGAGGCCACAGGGGCCTGTGCGGGAATGCAGTGTCAGTCTTCTGGAGTTTCTCACCAAAGCAGTTTGTGTTGACGGGTCACATCAAAGCAGAAAGACTTCCTCAGTTTTGATCCCCTTCTAATTAATTCCTCATCCGTCTCACTTTACTTCTGCCAGCACTTCTTTCTGGTGATAGCGCACGTTACCTATCCAGAGGGAACATGAATTTTAAAAACATCAAGGCTTCTGAGCTATTTTTGTACATGAAGTACTAGGACGGTACATCTATGGTCGAGTTGGAGAGAATTTTAGTAAGTTATGAGCTCCCCTTAGTACGTGGGCCTGGGCCTCTCCTGTTCGTCTTTTAATTTTAAGCTTTTAGTCAAAGCTATATATGCATAGAGTTGCAGAGAATAAAATAGTTCAGGGAGAAACTCTTCCTAGTTCTAGTTTACACTGCTGTTTCTGGTCCTCCTTGTTAATAAATAATGTACTTGCCTGTACCTCTACTTCTTGACTTTAGCTATTACTTGTTGACTTCCAGCTTTAAAAGATGGGAATTGCTCTTCCCTTCCTCTTCCCACACTACTGACATTACTATTTTATGTGCTGTTTGGGTTACCTTGCTCCAATAAAACACTTGCCCCCTTAGCTTTTTTGTTTTGGCAGCTACAGACAGTATCCCTTGACCCCTCTTGGCAGCACATCTTCTCCTTACCTCTCCCACCCCTCTGAGAGCCAGGCTTCCCACCGGCCCTGACTTTCCCATTTTCAAGGTTGAGAACATGTACATTCTGTTCTATAACTGCCCTTAAGCCTCACTCTTGTCTGTTGGCTTAGTCTAAAAAGTTGCAATGTGACAATTCTTAACTTACAAGACCATATATATCATTCATGGCGGAGTCACATAGTGTACTATGATTACATTTCCATTCTTTTACAGCCTTACTTCTTCCTGGAGTTTCAATTTTCTCCCTTGTCTTACTTTCAGTTTTCCTACCAAACTTCTCACCGTATCAGTTATTTATGCTGACTCCTTTCATATCAGTTTTTGGACTCTCTGATTTCAGATGTGATTTGTTGGTGTCCTGCCATCGTAGCTGAGAATTTAATTTCCTTGCCACCTCATCCAGAGCTCCTTCCTCCATCCCCTTCACCACGTGTGCCTTCTCCATCCTCTCCTCCCTATTCTGTTATCACTGTGGGCAGTTAGTTATTACTTGCCTTAAATTGTCTGGATTTCTCGGGTGGTGCCTTCAACCCGAGCATGTTTCTAGTGCCTGCCTCTGTTTCCCATGGTTAAGTTAGGCTATTTATAGAGCCAGTGGTTCTGAGAAGTTGTGGCTTACACAAATGCCGAGCTGCTTTTATGTCACTGTATACCTTATTTCCTACCTGTAATGCTGTGCTGTGTCCAGTGATCCAGTTTGTGGTTTGATACGCATTTTTTAGTCTCCTGTGCTTTGCATTAAGTTGGACAATGGTGACATGAATGAAGGTGCCATCTGGTTCTAATAATAGCCTGTTGATGAACAAAAATAGTAAGCACTCGGGGGTGTGCGGAATTCCAGCTCTCTCACAGACTCTGAGGCTACCTGTGCTATCTCTTCAGTTAGCAAAAGGTGTGACAAGCAACCTGCCTATGCCCCAACCACCACAGACCACCAGCCGCACCCCAACTACCCCGCCCAGAAGTGTAAGTATGACCCTGTCTTGCGGAAGCTGCCGGGGCCTCTTCCTGGCATGCAGAAGGCTCGTTGTGTGTGTGTCTGTGTTTTTCTCTGTGGGTGTGTCTTCTCCTGTTATTTCGAGTGGTGGGTCTTCCTCTGCAACATTTCTTCTCTGCGCCTCTGGTCGCCATCACAAACCGCATTAGGAAATGACAGTGAGCGTGTGGCCTGGCTTCTTGGTGGAGATGGTCCTCGCTCTCTTCATAAAGGGTCCTAGATGAACACCGATTCCCCCCTGTGGTGATTGGCTCTGTCACCCAGTGTCCCGTGTCCTCTCCAGGAGGACCTGCAGACCCCTCTGTTGGCCAGCCTGGTGCTGGGAGAGAGATACTGAACTCAGCTTGGCCCTGGTCCTCTTTCTTCCAGTCCCCGCCGCTGGTCTCTGCCCCCACCAGAGCTGGAAGGACTTGACGCGGGCTGACTGCATGACTCTGGGATTTTCTGACGGACGGGGATGTCCAGCTGCATCACGCCCCAGAGTCCTTCCGAGGAACTAAAAGCATAGGCATGGCGGCTGAGGGAGGAAGGCGTAAGGAGGCCGACTGAGGATTGTTAAGAAGACTCTGCCTTTGCCCCCAGCTCTGCCCACCATAGTATTGTCCCCTCTTGGTCACTGATACAGGTGACTAAGCAGTTCCCTCCTGAGTTCTCCCCACATGACTTGGAGATCTTTGTGCTTCTCTTCACTGCTTATCTTCCGGAACTCATGATGACACCCACACATGCCTTTTTACCAGGCAGGAAGAAGTGCAGCCCCCCGGGGAGTAGCGTGGCCCCCTCCCTGCCCCACTCCTCTTGCCCTCAGCCTCTTTTAACGAGACATTATCACCCCCCTCAAGACATTAAAACATAATTCTATCCCAGTCTGTCTGAACTTGGTAAATGATCCAAGATGTAATGGATCCTAGTGGTTGGCTGGAAGATTTCTCCCAGTCAGCTGCCAGCAGAACCGGCAGACCTGGGCTGTTCGCTAAAGTGCTCTTCACAGACACCTCATTTGCCTCTTCCTTCAGCTTCTTCATTTATTTCTTACTCATTCACTACTCAGCTCCTTGTCTGCGTCCTTGAAGCCATCCTAGGTCTTACTCTGGTTCTGGATCCTTCAGTCACCCATAAGCTTGTCCTTACTGGGAGTCAGAGGGTCTGTGTTCCCAGGTGAACCTTAACCATTCTTCTCCTTTATGATCCTCTCCCTTGGGTGGACAAGTGTGACTTGGTTATAAAGTCCATTTTTCAAGTTGCCTATATATTGCTAAAAGAAATCCCATTAATGGAAGCAGACTGCATGCCACATTTCGGTGTCTTTCTCCAGGGGCCAAGGTTGGACCCAGAAGTGCATGGGGTTCTTAGTGTCACTCAGTCACGTAGTAAGGGTACACAGTTCCAGACACAGCACAAGAAAGGCCTTCCTTGGCGGTTCAGAACCTTTTTCACACATCTTAATTCTCTGTGAGCATGACACCCTGTTGTTTTTCTAACCAGCTGTTGTTAAATCCGAAAAAACAAGCTGTTCTACCTTAATTCGCTGCAGACCAACAGATGCAGGGCAGTCAGTGGTGGCAGCGTGTGAACCATGAGTGGGGAGGGTAGGTCAGATTGCAGGCTAGTTATGCTCAGGTGCAGGTGGGCAGGCATGCTAAACACGTTGGCTTTCCTCCCCAGACCATTCCCGGAGTAGCAAATCCAGTTGGAGCAGCAGCGAAGAGAAGAGGGGATCGGCACGTTCCGAGCACAACACCAGTACCAGCACCAAGAGTCTCCTCCCGAAAGAGTCTCGGCTGGACACCTTCTGGGACTAGCAGCGAATCGGGACACAGACCGTCCATCCCATGGGGAGAAAAACCCAGACGCCAGGAAAAGGAGAAACGACAAAGACAGGAGAACAGCCACCTTCAGACTGGAGAATGACGAACCCTCGGACGGGCCTGAGCCCCTGGCGCGGGGGCTGCGACACTACAGGACGCCCTGCATCGGCTTTGACTGCGGACCGTTCACCCACATGAGCCCTGTGCGTTAGGTGTAAATAATGTACAATTTGTGGATGTCCCTGAACCTAGAGGACCTTCTCCTTTTTATATTTGTATTAACTTTAACTTATAAAAAAGAAAAAAACAATTACAAAAACAAAAAAAGCCAACCCCAACAACAAAAAGAATGTTCTGGTGTTGGAGAAGGGATGGTCAGTTAGTCCGTATGTCACACAATGGAATGGAAGCTGGGCCCGGGGACCGCTTTCACACTCACGTCCTCATCCTTGGGTACCCAGGGGAGGGCCAGCCGTTTTCACTCACGTGTCTGTACTCAGCATGCTGGGATCGGGAGTTCTGGCACAGACTCTACCCCGTGAAGCCATGGGCTCCTTTCAGCTACTGCATTACAACGTTCCTAAAACACAAGCTCTCTGGACCAGACGGACACAGGGAGAAGCTAGTTTATTTCATGTGATTTAAACGATTCTACTCCTAAAAGGGAAAAAACACAATGTCCTTGTTTACAGAAGAGAAAGAAACAAGCCCCATTTAGCTCAGTGGCAGAAGAGGAGAGCCTAGAAAGTGTTAGGATCATGAACTCTGAAAAAAAAATCTTTGCTTTGCTTTGTGATTCCTTTAAACACACACTCACACACTTGGTCAGAGACGCTGCGCTTCTTGGAAGCGAGGACTCAGGCAAGGCGCACGCAGAGGACATTCGAGTCTGGGATGAAGCATGTACGTATTATTTATATGATGGAATTTCACATTTTTATGTAAGCATGAAACAAAGGCAGTATGAGAGAAAGCAACACCCCGTCATGCTGTCCGTGACACTACGTATGCTGTAGAACCATTTTGTATGTGTGTAAAACAAAAAGCATTGATCAAAAAGCAAAAGGTGATGTATGTATATGAGCAAATTAACTGTCCGATATCATTCCAGTACGTTTCGTTGTACATTTTAGTCTCGTTTACTTTCTCTTCATTGTTAAGAGGATGCGAACTGTACAGTTTCCAGCTAGTTCCCCATATTAGAGAAGAACTAAGAAGAGTATTAGAAGAACACAGAGAAAGAACATTTGTGAATTGCAGTTGTCAAAAAAAAAAAAAAATAGCCTAGCTGGCCTTATTTGTGAAGCATAATTGCTTTTAGCATATGGAAGTATTTTTTCACATTTTCTTTGTATAAAATTTGTATTAAACTTAAATATCTTTTTGATGGTGGTGTTTCTTTGTGGCTGAGCCAGTAGACTCACACGGTATGCTTTTTTTGGGTTTTCCCATTGCTTCCCCCACCCCTCTAATTTTTTCAGATTTCTCCACCTTTTTTAAAATTAAACTGTTTTGGAAAAACGCCGTGGTCGTCCTCGAATTTGCAGTTTTCCATTTAGTCCGGTGGCTGTGTCAGATTTGCATGACCAAACCCAGAAGTGGAGGCCGCAGACACCCCCTGCAGCCAGGCAGTGGCACGTTGGAGAGAATGGCCCTTCGTGGGGGGCTTCCCAGGCCAGTCCTCATCAAACAGTTGGGAGAGGAGGGAGTTGTCTTCTGAGGCCAGTAGGGAGGCCGAGCTAACAGGACTCACGTGGATGGCAAGGGTCCTGGCCCTTCACAGGTGCCCTGGTCCATTGCTTGGCCTGGCTGGAGGTGCACAGGGTGTGAGTAGAATGAAGCTGGCTTGAAAGGCTGAGGTTTGGTTTCCTGGGTGGCAGTGTCTCTTCTCTGGAATTCAGTAGCTCCCCAGAAAAGATCTCCACAAACCACCTTCCTGTGCTAAGGGCCAAGAGGCGTCATGGCTGGCAGGGGAGCTTGGCCCGCGTGGGTATAAATTCATTCGTGCCAGTCAGCAAACACGCATTGCGTCAGGCACCGTCAAGGAGTCGGGTCCCTGCCTTCACCAAACTTGCAACTCAATGAGGACAACCATCGCTCAGCTGCTCAAGTATTACAGGGGACCTGTCGCGAGCCATGCACAATTTCAGTACTGGGGACAGATGGGGAGCAGGGCCCAGGAGTCCTGTCATGGTTGGCCTCATGTTCTTCACAGGAAGACACACCATCTACAAATTATTTTTTGAGACTCAGTCTCTCTGTTACTCAGGCTGGAGTGTGGTGGTGCCATCTCAGCTCACACTCAACTTCCGCCTCCCAGGTTCAAGCGATTCTTGTGCCTCAGCCTCCTGAGTAGCTAGGGATTCAGGCGTGCACTATCATGCCCAGCTAATTTTTTTTGTAGAGATGAAGGTTTCACATATTCCCTAGGTTGGTCTTGAACTCCTAACTTAAAGTGATCTGCCTGCCTCAGGCTCCCAAAGTGCTGGGATTACAGGTGTAAACCAGGGCACCCAGACTTTGTCTTCTTTTTTGGAGACAGTCTCACTCTCACCCAGACTGGAGTGCAGTGGTGTGATAGCTCCACTATCCTCCACCTCCCGGGTTCAAGTGATTCTGCCTCAGCCTCTCGAGTAGCTGGGACTGCAGGTGCCCACGACCCATGCCTGGCTAAGTTTTCATTTTTAGGGTTTTCGCCATGTTGGCCAGGCTGGTCTTGAACTCCTGGTCTCAGGTGATCTGCCTGCCTCAGCCTCCCAAAGTGCTGGGATTACAGGCATGAGCCACTGCGCCTGGCCCCAAGTCATTTTTTTTTTTTTTAACTGAAAAGCATGTTAACTTCCTGTTCCTGGGCTCGCATGTGCGCCTTCCCTCTGCTGTCTCATTTCATCCTGGAGACCGGAGAGGGGAGAGGCCGCGGCCGTGGGGTGGCGAGGGGCGGGTCATCCATTGTCTTCTTTCAGCTCCCATCTTTCTTGACTTCTGCACTCTTTGCTCCTTCAACCTGGCACCCTCCTACATGGCTGCCACCCGATTCTTCAGATGTTATCTCTGAAATAGCTACATGCCCACTGGCCCCTCATGCCCTCAGTGTTTTCTTCATGTCCCTGAGCAAAGGATGTGGACATTTATAACTTTTCCTGTGTGTCTCACTTGGATGTGAGCTGGGCGAGGGAGGGGCTCTGTTCCCTGCTGTGTCCCCAGGGCTTGGACACAACGAAGGTCATGCAGCTCCGGAGTAGCTAGCAGCACAGTGTTCAAATGCAGAGGCCGCCTTGAGGTGTCCCAGTGCACCCCCTATCCAGCCTCTGTTGCAACCTCCCTTAGAAGCAAAGACATCCAAGGAAGAAGTAGCTTGCTGACTCAGAGATGGAGAAATGGTTTTTGGTCAGGTAAAACAGCCACATGACTCAAAGCTGAAGATATGAAAGGGTCTGCAGGATAAAGCCTGTCCCCTGTGCCACCGGTCCCCTCCAATTCCTCAGGGAAGAGTCTGTATTTTCAAACAAATGCAGAGACATTTTTCTCTGCTTTTTCTTACTTTTCTCTTTTAAATTATTATTATTTTTGAGACAATGTCTTACTCTGTCACCCAGGCTGGAGTGCTGTGGTGCCATCTCAGCTCACTGCAACCTCCATCTCCCAGATTCAAGCGATTCTCCTGCCTCAGCCTCTTGAGTAGTTGGGATTAAAGGCACCTGCCAACATGCCCAGCTAATCTTTGTATTTTTATTTTTGTTTTTTTTTTCCCATTTATTTATTTTATTGCATTTTAGGTTTTGGGGTACATGTGAAGAACATGCAAGATTGTTGCATAGGTACACACGTGGCAGTGTGATTTGCTGCCTTCCTCCCCATCACCTACCTCTGGCATCTCTCCCCTTGCTATCTCTCCCCAGCTCCCCACCCAATTTCTGTATTTTTAGTAGAGACAGGTTTCATCATGCTGGCCAGGCTGGTCTCAAACTCCTGACCTCTGATGATCTGCCCACCTCGGCCTCCCAAAGTGCTGGGAGTGCAGGTGTGAGCCACTGCTCCCAGCCTTCTTTTCTACATAAATGGTAGCATTTCATACACATTCTTCAGCCCTGCCCCCTTGCCCTGTTTTTAAAAAACTCTGAATTCTTGAGTATTTGTCCATATTGGTGCAGTTCAAGAGCACCTCCATCCATTTTTAGGGGGTGTGATGTCTGCTATGTGGGCAGGGGATAATGCATGTGGCCAGTCCCCAGCTGGTGGACATTCAGATTGTCCCCAAACTCTGGCTATAGCAAACAGCCCTGCAATGAGCACCATTACAAAATGACTCCCCAGGCTCCTCTGAGCTGCCCACTGGGATAGTTATTCCACTCTTTGTGCAGCTTGGAAAACTGTGGCTCAGGGGTTACATGAGTTTGGAGGGGCTCAGGTTTTTAGTTGCAAATAACAGAATCTACTCCGGCTAATCTGAGCACTCTGGTCTGCTTACTTCTCAGGCCACACCAGCGGGTCAGTGAGAGGCCAGGTAGGAGGGGAAGGACTTGAGGGCTTCAGTCTGGGTTGAGTGCTTTCAAGATGGGAAGAAGAGGGAGAGGCAGTGGGGTCTGGTGAACCTGGCAGAAGCTGCCAGGTCCTTGCTGACTTCCTTTGACAATGACCTGGATAGGAACCGGCTCAGACCTTTTCATGCAGTCCAGCACACTTGCCATCTGGTGGCCACAGGCAGCACTGCAGCTTGTGGAGCCATCTGGCCCACTGGGGACAGCGAGCACATGGGCCAAAACCCTGCATTCCAGAGACAGCGGTTCACTGAGCTCTCTGTATGAGCCAAGTCCTGGGTCACAGTAGTGAACAAAACAGGTTCAGTCTCTGTACCTATTTATCTGACACTGTCATTGGGAAGCAATTTGATACCTGTACGCATGTAATATGATCCCAGGCGGGCTAGATGCACTGAAGGTGAAGAGGGTGAGTTGTGTAGGGAGATGGTGTGTTTGGGGGCCCTTTCTAGGGGGCTGCTGATTGAGTAGAAACCTGAGGGGGGTTCTTTCCAAGGGGACTGAGCCCATTTATTTATTTATTTGTTTTTTGAGACAAGGTCTCTCTCTGCACCCAGGCTGGCGTGCTGTGGTGACATCTCTGCTCACAGTGACCTCCGCCTCCCAGGCTCACACCATACTCCTGCCTCAGCCTCCTGAGTAGCTGGGTCTACAGGCACACACTACCATGCCCAAATAATTTTTAAGTTTTTTTTTTTTTTTTTTTTT